CGCATTCGTTTTACAGTACAAACAGAAAATGAAAATGAATTTAAAGCCAGAGAATATAGATGTCAAAAGGTTCGTTTTTGCAAAAAACAATCTATGATATATAAAACAAGTCCTACTTCAGATGAAATTACAATTGCTATCTGTGAAACATCACATACTTTTGTATGATGATAAATGATAAACACTTTCATCACCAATCCCCAATTGTCCTTGTGTAAGGGCAATGCCAAAGACGTATTTGATTTAAAGAATTGATTATTTTTTCTAATGATATCTTTATAATTCTTAATAATGACGATCCTATTTTATCAAACACAAAATACACAACTGATAGGTACATAAAACATCTGGATGAAAAAGTTGCATTGCAATAGCACCATTACATGCATAAATCATAGATAAATCATTGTTCGCTTTGATTGTCTAATCAATTCCAAAGTTCTGAACTTCGTTCGGAATTTTAATCTTTATGCTGCAGCTGATTTCTACGATAAGAGGATGCTGAACTTTCAGACATACTAATTATTGTTTACTCTGCTACTGTATTTCCTTTATTTGAGATCATTCGGTGTAAGATTGCTCTTTTACAACACAGCCAAAAAGGCAATACAGACATGCAATAAACAACGCAAAAGCAACGTGAACAAATATGTACAAAACAAAAATTAAATACAGGATGACATGAGGGATAACTATTGAGTAATGGTGACCTTAAAGAATACTGCTAATGCAAAATAAATATTGTATCGGTAATGATTTTGGTTGGTAAATGAGTATCGTATACGGTGTTATCCTGGTGATGTTGAGTGTTGTATACGTATTTACTTTAGTGATGTTGTTGGGTGGGTAATAAGTATTGTAGACGTGGTAACTCTGGTGATGTTGTTGATGCATACGTAGTTACCTTGGTGATGTTGATGATGTATACGTAGTTACCTTGGTGATGTTGTTGGACGGGTAATAAGTGTTGTAGATGTGGTTACTCTGAGGATGTTGATGATGCATACGTAGTTACCTTGGTGATGTTGTTGGGTGGGTAATAAGTGTTATAGACGTGGTTACTCTGGTGATGTTGATGATGCATTCGTAGTAACCTTGGGGATGTTGTTGATGCATACGTAGCTACCTTGGTGATGTTGTTGGGTGGGTAATAAGTGTTGTAGACGTGGTTACTCTGGTGATGTTGATGATGTATACGTAGTTACTTTGGTGATGTTGTTGGGTGGGTAATAAGTGGTGTAGACGTGGTTACTCTGGTGATGTTGATGATGCATTCGTAGTAACCTTGGTGATGTTGTTGGATGGGTAATAAGTGGTGTAGACGTGGTTACTCTGGTGATGTTGATGATGTATACGTAGTTACTTTGGTGATGTTGTTGATGTATACGTAGTAATATTGGGAATCAATTAGCGTGGGAAATGGGTATTGTGTATGGAGTGCAACTTGGTAATGTTGTTGGATTTGTGGTTAATATTTTGTACTAAGAAACTTTGTGATGATGTTGGCTAGAAAATGAGTATTGTATACGATAAAACGTTAATATAATAGTGAGCGAGAAATTAAGAGTGTGAACAGACAAATCTTGCTGATTAAGATACATGCACTTGGGTTTTGAGTTTCGGGGCAACCATCGTGATGCTGCTGCTGATGATATGATGATTGATTATGAATTTGCTGAAAATGGTGATGATGATTGCGAAATGGATATTGTGTATAGAAGAACAACCTCGGTGATACTTGGGTGAAGAATAAATATTTCCTATTGAGTAATGAGTATTGTGAATTGTGTAACTTTGCTGGATGTCACTTCTGATGTATAGGAGGCGGTTCACTAAACATTTATTATAATTGTGATTAATAGACTATATAATGCCGATTTCCATAAATAAAACTCGTGTTAGGATTATTTCCGCTACCTGTCCCAGCAAAATAAATATGAAGGCCATACAAGTAACAATACCTCAAACACGTAACCTAATCGAAAGTAGTTATGAAACATAAATCAATACTTGGAATAAAGCAAATGATTCGCTAACAAAGAAATATCACCTCCGGTGTACCAGTTTGATTAACTGAATTATTGATTGCAGATTGACGTTTATGCAACAACTAAAGTCATAGGATGATAGGTTCCCCTATTGGTAGGGCCACATAAAAACAAAGTGAAAAGAGCGATTATTTCTACAAACGGTAGGACCACACATCAGCATACTTCTAAGGGCGATGATTTAAACAAAACGTGGGACAAAATATCAGGTTTGGTTTTAGGAAAATGGTTTAACCAAACAGTAGAGCCACACAACAGCTTACGTATAAGGGCAATGGTTTAAACAAACAGTAGGACCACACAACAGCTTACGTATAAGGACAATAGTTTTACCAAACAGTAGGGTGACACAACAGCTTAGGTATAAGGACAATGGTTTAGCCAAACAGTAGGGCCACACAGCAGCTTACGTATAAGGACAATTGTTTTACCAAACAATTGGGCCACACAACAGCTAACATATAAGGACAATTGTTCAAACAAACAGTAAAGTCGCACAACAACTTACGTATAAGGACAATGATTAAACCAAACAGTAGGGCCACACAACAACTTGCGTATAAGGACAATGGTTTAAACAAACAGTAGGACCACACCACACCTTACATATAAGGACAATGGTTTAAACAAACAGTAAAGTCGCACAACAACTTACGTATAAGGACAATGGTTTAACCAAACAGTTGGGCCACACAACAGCTTACGTATAAGGACAATGGTTTAAACAAACAGAAAAACCGCACAACAACTTACGTATAAGGACAATCGTTTTACCTAAAAGTGGGGCCACACAACAGCTAACGTAAAAGGACAATGGTTTAACCAAACAGTAGGGCCACACAGCAGCTTACGTATACGGACAATGGTTTAACCAAACAGTAGGGCCACACAACAGCATCGGTCTTAGGGTGAGGGTTTACACGAAAATAGGACTAATAAAAGTTTAGCTCTAAGGTCGATTAATATAAACAAACAGCTGGGTCAATCAACAGATAAGGTCTAAGGGTAATGGATAAAACAAACATACTGCTGACATAACAGCATAGGTCTACGGAAGATAGTTTTAGCATACAGTAGGGCAAAACAACAGCCTAGAACCTAGGACGATAGTTTGAACAAACAGAAGGGCAACACAACAGGTTAAGTCTGAGGACGACATTTTCCGTAAAAGGTAAAGTCACACAACGGGTTAGGTCCTCGGATGATGTTAAAAAACAGTAGGGCCAAATAATAGCGTAAGTCTATGAACGATAGTTTCCACAGAACGGTTCGGGCGACAGCTAAGATCATACAATGAGGGTTTCTATAAATGTCATGCCCAAACATTCTCTTCCCTAAGAAATCTTTACATTGTGGGATTTAAATGAAAATAAACAAGGCAAAGTATTGCAAGACAATCCATAGTCCCCCATCGGCAATGATTTATATATTTAACAAACAGTACACTTATGTCAAAAAAGTATAGGTACCAGTTATGTCATAGTGACCTTATTCTTGCACTCCGTCATCCCAAGCTGTTGATGTAAACTAATTTTGGCTACCCCAGGTGAAATAGTATAGAAGATATGCCCCGTGAAACTATTTTTAAAGTAAAGTTCTTTTGGTGTGGTTTGGTTTAGTATTGTTTAACGTCTTATCAACAGCTATGGTCATTTAAGGACGGCCTCCCCTGTGTGCAAGATGCATGCGTGTAGCATATGCGTGTGTGTTTTTGGAGGATACGATATGTTCGTGTTTGTCTCCTTGTGAAAGCTTGGAACTGATGCCGACTTTATAGTGCTACCTCACTAAAACATACTGCCGAGGACACCCAGCAGGACACCCCACCCGGTCACATTACTCTGACAACGGGCGAAACATTCGTCCCACTCCTCAATTGCTGAGCATTAAGCAGGAGTAGAAACTACCATTTTTACAGACTCTGGTATGTCGCGGCCAGGGGACAGAACCCAAAACCTTCATCACAGGGACGAACGCTCAACTGAAGGCCAAAAGGGAGGCATTGTCAAGGGAGACATTAGGAAGAAGAAATTTGTTTAGAAAGAAGAGAAAAGATAAGATCCCAATTTAGTCGCCTCTTACGATCATGCAATGGGGAAAGCAGGTACACTTCTTACGTCCTACTTGCAGGGACGAAGTATAGATCAATGGTCAAGTCATACGTCACAGTGACTTGATTCTTGCACACTGCACTGCGCCATCAAAAGATGTCCTTGTATGCCAAGTCTGGTTACACGAGGTGAACAAGTATAGAGGATATGCCCTGGGCGAAGCAGAACACGTTTAGCCTTTAGGAACCTCAAGTGTTAGCCTCATTGTACTATGTCTATGTAAACATGTCCTTTCTTTATATTTTGAAATAGTTTTATTGATTATGAGTACGAATTACGGTTTTCTTGAGACATTGGTATTCTGTTCTTTGTTTCGCTTTCACACTCCCTCACCTATCACGTCACAACACATTTGATCATGAGGATCAATTAATTGCTTATCAACATACAGAAACCAAATGTAGACACAGAAATGAACAACATGAAATTAAGAAATATGTATTCGAAACCACGTGATGTTAATAAAACAGCATTGCTTCAGTAAACTTGGCACCGTCAAATCCAGAGAACCGTGACAGTCATCAACAACATTTGACACAGTGAGCATGAGTTTTTCATGTAAGACATTGTTAGTTTGAATGTATGTCAACTTGTCCAAAGAATGAGTATCATAACGAGCAATACGTTCATATTTCCAAAATGCAAATTTTGAGAAATGTATGAGAGTTTAGGTAGAAAATGTATTTTATTAATTGTCTTTCAATCATAATTAATCCTATACAAATAGTTTAAATAGTTTTGAGTTTCAATATTTATAGAAATATGCAAACGGATATTTTTGCGAGAAAATATTGTAAAACTAACAACACTTTGAACAACTGCGGTTATTTTTATAACTTACTTGAAAGCGTTCTGGTTACAGATGGTGATGGACGGAAATTGAAGGGAGGTGTTGTAGTTGACTCGAACATTGACCGTCACAGGCCAGCCGTAGTAATACCCCACCCTGTCAACTATCTGGTATACCAACACAGAGGTGCAGGCGCATATCATCATCAACCACAGCAGTCTGAAAATAAACAACACCATTTACTCGCTACACAACCTTTATTGTGTTCATAGGTTTAATTAGTTTGAGTTGTATGTCTTATTAACAGCTATGGTCTGATCTTCTAAAGATATGCTAGGTTTTGGTGGTGGATGAATACCTGGAGGAAGACCACCGACCTGCGGCCAGTACCTAGCGACTGTCTCACATTGTCGAACCCGCGACCCAGTGGTGGAGGGCTTGTGGTAGCAGTATGTCAGATGCCTTAACCACGCGGCCCCAAACGTCCTATTTAAAGCTATGGTCATCTATGGACGTGCCAGGATTTGATGATGTATATATATATATTTGTTTCTGTAGTTAGAGAATGATTTTCGCAATAACTCGCAAGGAGACTGTTTTTTTGATATTTTCCTTTAAAAACTTGCATACGTACTTACATTTGTACTTTTAATATGAAATAAAAGTCCTCTCTATCGCTAAATCAAATATATACGAATAACACCTTCCTGCATAGTTCTTACAAAAACTACACTGGACAACAAATTAAAGCGATACAAAGAATTTTCCTTTCCTACATAATCTAGCAGAAACAACATCCATTCAGCATTGCTTCGTGTTAAAAAAAAGAACTATTGTGTTCGCTTGATCAATACCTATTACATCTCCATGAATGGTCAGTGGCTTTCTAAACCATAGTTTGATGTCATAATAACGTCAACAATCTGCAATAACATTCATAGATAAAATGAATGTTATCTGAATGTGTTAGGCTTATACTATCACGTTTGGTTTACATTGTAAAGCAACCCATTTACTTTTTATCTAATCTGTGTTTTGGTAAACATTTATAGGGAGAAATGTATTTTTGTTTTGATTTCATAAACATAAAAATATTGTACTAAATGTGGTAAACCAACATAACTGAGTACGGTTTGATAAATGAAGATTATGCCCTGGGTAAAGACAATGACTAATGTTTTCAATAACGCTATACAAAATTGCTGCTATACCCATTTTTGGCATATAATATTGCTACTACATGTAATAGCCTTTTTAATGTTTTCGACACAAAATTTACGCCATGCGATAACAGCTGCTACACAGATATTACGAAATATATCATTACAATTAAAAAGACATTTGAAAACGATTCACAGCCAACAAATGGCACCCTATCAATCAATTTGCGTTTACAAGTTACCCTTTCTAAAGTGATGTTTAATAGTTTTCCGTCCTGCTTTCATGTGTTGATGCTGTTTTCGTAATGAGGAAAGGTTAATGTTTCGCACATATGTAGAAATAGCGAATTCCCTCGTTACAAATAAATAATTAACACCATGCCAACACTTCGGAACGAATTGTGTCAATTTTATCAAGGCGTCATCGTATACAATATTCTTTGATGAATCAGTAGGGTCGAATGGTATTTATCTGTGAAAAAGACCCCAATAAAGAAAGTTCTGTGGGAGATCGTCATATATAATGATTTATGCTTATATTTGTTGTTTACAAAAAACTTTTTTTTTTACCACGATCTTACTGAAACGTTATCATTGATTTGGAAGATATCATCGACTTTTAAGTGTGTAAAGTAATGCATGTCATGTACACTGTAGAACGATACAACGGCGTGGCAATATAAATTGTATACACTTTAAAACTACAAAACTACTTAAGTCTTTAAACTGTGTATAATGTACGTTAATAACTCTGACATATATTGTGGTAAAGAATATGACAATAAATCAATAAGACTTTAAATGCTCTGGGTATTTTTGATAATGTTTATATATTGCATGAAGTCAATCAATTCTCTGATTTGATGTTGCTTTTCAATTTGGAAAACAATATATCATTTTCTAAAATGACAACTTATTTATTCATTTAAGGTTGTTAATTTAACTCTATCTCTTAATATAATCCATTTAATATTTGAGGAATATGTAATATCAACAGTGCAAATTCTCTTTCTATTTTATGTAACTTTGACAGATAGAGTGCTTGAAGTTTGTTATAAGACACTTGTGACGATAAAAGCCAGCTAATACTCTCATTCTGCGTTCAATTACTGGAGTAAAGAATTGATGAATTAGTTGAACAATCCCATAAGAAATATGTTACTGTTTAACAAAAATTATAACTGCTATGAGCTATCTTTCGAGAATCAAAGAAATTCTGAACATACCGTTGATATAATCAAGGAATGAATATATTCCTTACCTATAGTAAGTGTGTATAACTCCATTTAGTTAAATATCTAACAATGCTAACGCTTTAATGTTAAAAGTACGTACGTTAACGAATACATTAACTACACATTTAAGCAATGGAAAAGCTGAGAACATTGGGTTTAAAATAGTCTTAGCCTATACCACACAAACAGATACTGATGGTCAGCTTATAGTTGTCAGGATGCAAATTGAAAGCGTATCAAACACAATCAGAATGTTCTATATAATCGTACGGTTCGTAGGATATATGTTCGTTCAACACAACTAGAAAATTATAACAAATAATGAACCATATATTTAAAACAGCACATTTAACAATAGGCAACCCTTATTTTTTCGATCCCCATTCTTCAAAACGAATATAGCAGGAAGTATAACACGTCTAATATATGATCCCGCCTAAACAAAAAAGGACACAATATATCAGTAGTGGAACTTATAATAATGAACAAAGTTATGTTAAACCTTTAAAACACGTTAATAAGACGTAACAACTTACTTTCTGCCGATAAACGATCCTTGGTGAGCCACATAACGAAGGCCATGGAACGTAGATCCCTCTGCAAAATCCTTAAGAACAGTTCGAAACCCTGGCGATTTTTGTACGTTTTGTTTCTCCATGGTCTTATACTTGTTTGCTACTTTCGATCGTTTCCTGTTCTTGTTACCGCTGACGAATTGGTCCCAGTTTGCGTCACTCCCGTTCTTGGTATGAGTGTCGCGCAGTTCCACGTAGACGTCCTGAAGAGGATTCCCGTCTTCAAATCGATTTGGTCTGGACATCATTATATGTTACTTTCAGCTGCCACGTGTAACGCCTATCCAGAGTTTTCCTACAAGTTATGAAATGCTTCATATTTACTCAAAGTATCACATCAACAGAACTGTGATCACAATGGACATATAAGCAAGTGACTGTGTCAGTATCTGTCGAGGGCATACCGTCACGTGTCTATTAGTTAACTCGTCATGTTGCTGTCAGTTGAATCAAAGATAATAACACTTGTCAGTTATTTTAATGGTATGTTAATATTTATGCCGTGGGTCGATTTGAATCCCCCGTACTGTAGTGTTTACCTGTGTATTGATGCTATTGGTATCGTACGCTGCTGCTGCTGCTTGGGTCTATGGACTAACGATGATTCCATCGGGCTAGTGTATCATATAAAGTAATACGTAGCTAAGCTGTATAGAGATGTACAGTAATGTATGAGTGGTCAGAAAGAGATTGCTGACTGCTTAATGAATTTACTGTCTGTTGTATGTCATCTACTTATGCGCTTTATCACTTGGCGAGTAGACGTAATTGTTTGTGTTTCCGCCTCTGGTATTTATGTTGTTCTAAATGCCAAGATTAGTGTTTGCTGTCTTGTTGATACCTTGTATAATTAATAAAGGCATTATGTCACGTCAGTGGTCAAGTGATGTCAATTTCTGTTTAAAAGTTAAAAGTTCAATTGTTAAGACAATCTGGACGGACTTCAAAACGTGTTGAAACATTAGCCTTTTCGACAAGTTACCAACTAGCCATTTTTAACAAGCTAATGGCGTTTCTGTATTGAAATCAAACGACATGCTCTTCTGTACTTTGCTTGTGTATAATGTAAAAATGATATATACGTATTTCACAAAATTGATTTACCATTGTTAAAGATATCCATCCTTATTATGTAGATAATGGTAGACTATGTTACTGCTATTGACATGTTCTGTCGCCATACATACAATTGATCCACCCTGGTTAAAACAATATGTAACTGTTTTTAAAATGACCAATTATTTCACAAAATAAGAAAGAGGATAAATATCGTGAAAAACCGACGTATTTTGTAAATAGATCTTGACCAGTTATCAGGATAAAACAAGCAAACACTATATCATTAGGCACAAATCTTCGGTTCATCCTTATTTTCATTTGCTTAAAAAACAATGTCAGTAACTTTCATGATTGTTACCTCTAGTCCTCTGATTCCATTGGTTAGGCTTTTGTGAAACTGACCGGATGTTACAGTAAGTGTTGATGACGTTATATTTAAGTTAGATAGCATTTAATGATACATGAGTACATTTTATTTTACTAATTTAGTAATTATATTTCACTAAATAATTAGTATTATATGACCTTCACTACCACAGTGACACATTCAATATATACCGGGGGCAGTTTCGCTGCAGTTTGATTTTCGACTTTTTCGCCCTCCGCCGAGAGGACAAATTTATTAATATTATGGTAAACATCTGAAAACATCAAAATACACATAGTCATTAAATGTGAAGGGCGAATTTAAAATAGGTTGTACGTGAATTTTACTGTCGAGGGCTAAAACTTGAGTGGACGAACATTTCCCGGTATACAGTAACTGAATGTAAATCTACATCATATTATAATATATACTTAGGTTGTTTATCCGTAAGCGATGACGCAGACACGCAAACACGTACTTTAAAGTATATTGCATGTCTCATTGAAACTCGAAAATCTGCGTCAGCATTAATCCATTTCTTGAAGCATTATGGTTTAGTTATTTAGGTGTACATGATGTGTATCCATACCTTCCAACCGCCATATCTAAACAGGATTGATGCTGAAAACTAATTTCCTTTACATATACTAACTGACCTTGTTTTAGAAAATCTGGTCGCTAAACCGTATATTCAGTGAACCTAAGTGAACATGACCTATGATTTAAATAAACAAGCAAGTACCAATTCTGTGGATGGCTACGCTGGCTGTTGTGTGAACGGTAATTATTCAGGGATAAATAGCACAAACAGACTTTACAGCTACACCAATGTGGTGTTCGGGAATGAAATCTTCGAACCAAATAGAACTCTAATTTAAGGGTGCGTGGGCGACAGCTGTCAACACAGACTTGACTCCCCGTAACGGAAATAGTCAGCTTAAAACATTAATTAACAAAACTGTTTAAATATTAACAGGGCGTAATTGGTAAATATGTTATAACGCGCACTAGGTAGTTAATAAATATACCTGTGTATTTATCATTGATTTGTGTTGCAATGTAATACCAGGTACATCTCTCCAAAGGGGGTTCTCATATCGAGTAAGGCAAAAGCTTGTTCATAAATGTTAAGGTTACAAATCAAAAATTTGATATCAGAATGATATCTGTATGGTGATGTAATTATTTTAGTTACCAATTACCGATTGTTATTAAAACGATGTATGGTCATGATATAATCAGCGTGCTCGTTATACTAATAAGACAATATTATCATATATCATTTTTGTCTCCACAGACACCATCGGGCCATCTGTTAAAAGCACACCGTGTGGGACGTACGTGATGAATAACCAATTTTGTTGTTGTTGTTTCCAAATTCATCACGCCTTCATATCGACCTCGCTATTGGTTATTTGCGATTATGATTTATATGTGCATTGCTTGAGCTCAACACTGAGCTTTTTTTATCAAAACACTCCTACACACATAGTTTATTATTTGACATTACTCTGACACGATATTAACAGTCTCGGCTTCAGACAGTATAAACAAGCATAACATAGCATGGGTGACGTTTATGTAGGGGTCCCGTTGGGAGAGGATGGTTTCACAGTTTTTTTTCTAACCCCCAGTTACATATATGTATTTTTTTCGAATATTTTTGAACACTGTGGATAATTGACAAACAAGGACAACAAACATAACAAGAGGCCCATTGGCTTTAACGATCACCTGTGTCCTACAGTATTTTGTTGTTGTTGTTGAAATAATAATGTCAAAGGAGAAGAGTACATTATTTGACATACAAAAATGCGAGGTCCATCAGTCAATTATCACTACCAAGTTTGAGTAAAACTAGAGAAGTGTGTAACACATGAATGCCCTTTGCCACAGAAAATGTATCTCGCTGTTTGAAAATTTTCTTTAGATAGTAACGGTGACCTTGACCTAGCAAAAAGTTTTTCAAAATGGTGGCATTTGCGGCAATATTGTATTTCTAAGCGACCCGAAAAATAACAACACTTTGTCAACACCATGAGTCGTTCATTCCTACAAGTTTTCAGTTAATTCGGCCAACAAGAACTGGACTTTAAATTTAAAATATGTTTTTTTCAAAATGGCGGCATTGGCGGCGGCCATATTAGATTTCTTAGCGACCCGAAAAATAACAACACTTCGTCAGGCAGATGTCAGTAACATTCCCAGGAAATATAAATTTACAGTATTTCAGCTTAAGTTGAAAATGTAAAATGTTAACGAACGACGCACGACGGATAGCAATAGGTCACTTGAGCTAAAGCTCAGGTGACCTAATAACCATACCACATTTCTACACATGAATGACTTCAACCCGGGAAAACCATCATGAGGAATGACGTCAATACATCTTAAAGAAAAAAGATGATATTTCGTGAAGTTCAAGTTCAAATAATTTTGTGTAATTATTTTACCCGATGAATGCATTCCAATGATGATCGATCTTAACTTGTTAAATCCGGGCAAATGTATACCGAGTTTCAGAACTGATAAAACATTTTGTAAGAGTTAAGAGAAAAATATCTATAGTAAAAAAACAAATCTTCGGAGATTTATTTTCCGGAATCCCCTTTTCTTTAGTTAGGGCTGTACATATTAACAAACTAGTTTATAATGAGACGGCACTTAAAAAATATACTGTGGACACAAGTTCGTCATTTCGACAATGTAGTCACATTATTATCTACAACGAGCTAAGCAGTATTTACTTAGACGCCTTGTCTAGGTGGGTACCAACCGAACGAAGACTGACATCAGAACAGACCTATACTTTTGGAGTCATTACAATTTTGATCTCATATGTGTCACTAACTTGGAGAGGCATTACATTATGCATAACATAACACCTTAACTTTGAAAAGGCATCGTCATGCAATCTGGCAATGGAACACTTCTGGTAAACAACCCTTTTTATGACAAGGCTAACATAACATATCACATTATTTTCATGCTTTCTAGCTGTTACAATTCGATGTTCAATATATATTTACAGAATCGAATTTATAACAAAGTGTTATCTATTTTTAATTCATCCTGTTCACTTGTATGTTATCAAAAAAATGATAGTTAAATACAGGTTACCTACCTCGATGCCATTGTTATTCATGAAGTCCTGTAAGTTCCTGCTGTTAGTTCCTTACTCTAAGTAACTACAATATGTATTTTGTAGCTTCATATGAACAGTCTTATGGTTGCCTGGCTACAGTTTGAGACAGAGGGGGGCTGTTTACCAAGATAAGACATCACCTATCCCTGAAGTAGGTTCTGTATATACTCCCCAAACACAGCAGATCTTATCAGAACAGGTATATAGCCGCACTACTTACTATGTCGCCTGCAGACACTTATCACCAATTAAAACATTTTTTTTCGCAAAACAGAACTACTCCGTATCCGAACGAATACATAAAGTATTGCAGCCTGGGATTTTCTGTGAAGGGCGTATGCATATACTATGATATAAATATGACTCTTGCACCATTGGCAAGGCGACACGAGAACTCCGTATGGGCTTTTAAAATCAATTATACATTGCTAAAGATCTGAAACTAACTATTTGTTACATTATATGAGTGTAAAAGCAACTTTTTATTATCGATTTGTGGCAAGGTCTAAGCATTCCTATCTGTAATAGTTGTTTAAATCTAACTTTTAATACACCTTTACACACAATAAATTATATCCTTATACACAATTTATATTCAAACATTACGCAATCCCAATACACATTATGTCAAAACCATGTTTTTAATTTGACAGCGCAAGCAAAATTTAAAGATTCTATTAAAACATTAAGCTCTTATGTTCAAGGTATCAAGGTATATGCTATCACTTTACAACGACAGAACATGTTTTATAACTACATGTATATGTAATTTTATTAATTTTTAAATTTAACAAATTATTTTGATGGCATAAAAAGATCATGCAAATGCCTACTGAAATTAATAGCTTTAAATGTGTAGGTTGTTATAGATTATGCGATGGAAGATTGGAATATTCTGTGATTTTTTTCTAAATTCAGAAGATAATACACTTTAATGTACTTATGCGTGCATTTGTATTTCTCGAGTAAAGTAAATGTAAATGAAAATGGCTAACCAAAGAGCTTCGCAATCTATCATTTCCCGTGTGCTTAGCTGAAGTTATCACTTTACAACCTGGTCAAAATAGAAATATTTTCTTTATACTAATAGACCCATTTAATACCAATACTTAAACGACATGCCTTACATGTACCTCAATCTTTAATTACAACGTGACGAACAGAAACGGCTTACTACACAGCCGCGGGATAAATATGACAATTATAATCTTCAACACACTTCTTACAACAATTTACTTCATGAGATGCATGTTGATATGACGACAGGGCAAGCGTAATGGCCGCAATATCTCATTTGAGTATATTTTAATCTTATCAGCTATATGAAGGTTGATGATTCTGATTTGCTCAGTAGTGTGACTTGTGGATTTGTGGACTTCCGCTATTCTTAATTTGACTTGATATAGATTGACATATCGGATGCCATCGAAGACGAAGATATGCCTCTCCTTCCGGAGCACCTGGTCGGGTAGTCGGGCGGCGCATTTGATAGCGCACTCGACTTTCACCAACCCTATCGAATGTAAACAAGGAATGTGGTCATCTGCCCGACCAGGTGGAATTTCTCCTGGTACTCCGGTTTTTATACACATAAAGACCCCTTGCCCGCTTGCATCCTATAAATAAGAATGATTGATATTAATGGATGTAACTAGTTTCTTAATTGTTTTAAAGTAAGACATCATCTTATCCACGTTGTACCCTTATAAGAGTCTGCATTTAAATCTTGATATGTCCGACTTAGAATAAAGATAGCCACAGCAAAAGTCTATCTGCATCGAAATTTCTTCTGAAAAACAAAGTCCGAAAATACAAGAAGTCAAGTTTTTAACTTCTTTGGGGAAATAGAAAACTCATATACAAATACCAATATAGTTACTTAAGATAAGCAATGAGTGAACATGACAACTGTTAGCCTTGTTTCAGTTTCCACACTTATGAGCATTACGTCAAGAACGTCTTCATGCGAACTTACAATAAATTTGAAACATAGCAGAAACACCTACGCAAAAAACTTTTTTACGTACAAACGTAACAGTTTGGGTGTGTATCGTTCCCCCCAAGAATGCAAGGAGTGTGTTTCAAATCTGTTGAAACCGCTACCACAGATGTGGAAATGAAGCAGTTGCTTAAAACTCTCACACTGATCCAGCACGATGGATCTTTTGATGCTATGATGCATCGATAGCCCATGTAGCAGTGGCTAATATTTGAAGTCGTATACGAAATTCTCAAATACACAGTGGCTGCAGTTCTCTCAAACATAAAATCACGATGTTTACATTTCATAATGCGAAATCACTTAATTAGATAATTAGAAGAGAGAACCGCTTTTTCACACGCGGATTTTATCTATTTTCACCACAACGTCATACAATTATTAATACAAAGTTAATAAACTTTACTTATTAAACAGTGGTTTTTTTCAAACCCCACAACGGCGCAAAGCGCCGCCGGGGTTTGATCTGTAAACACTTTGTCCACTTCCGGTGCTTCCCCATGCGTGAAAGCCTTCTGGGAAATTAAGGCCGCATACTGTCTACAAAAATATGTTGGTAAACCCTACCGTATCGGTATTGATTGCAGTTTACTTGTAAAATATCATGAATTCTCTATTTAATAAAAACATATATTTAATGCAGTGAAGATAAACGAAACATCATATCTTCACAAGTAAAAACTTCACTCTGTAAGTATTGTCCAATCTGAACGGTACATTATATTTCTGCGTAGATTTTCAGTTTCAAGTTTAGATGAAGTGACGGCAGTATAAGTGGTTGAGCTGTTTACCTTTGCAGCATACATTGTTGTTTTTACATAACTACA